GCTCTGGTGAGACCTCACCTGGAGTACTGCATCTAGCTCTGGAGCCCTCAGCACAAGAAGGACATGGAAGTGTTGGAGCGGGTCCAGAGGAGGGCCACAAAAGTGATCCGAGGGCTGGAGCACTTCTACGAGGACAGGCTGAGAGTTGGGCTTGTTCATCCTGGAGAAGAGAAGGCTCTGGCGAGATGTTATTGTGGCCTTCCAGTACTTAAAAGGAGCCTATAGGAAAGATGGGGACAGACTTTTTAGTAGGGCCTGTAGCAATAGGACAAGGGGTAATGGTTTTAAACTAAAATAATGTAGGGATGTAAGGAATGTATGCAAGATGTAAGAAAGAAATTTTTTTACAATGAGGGTGGTAAAACTCTGGAACGGGTTGCCCGAAGAGGTGGTGCAGGCCCCATCACTGGAAACATTCAAGGCCAGACTGGACAAGGCTCTGAACAACCTGATCCAGTTGAAGATGTCCCTGCTCATTGCAAGGGGGTTGGACTAGATGACCTCTAAAGGTCCCTTCCATCCCAAAGCATTCTATGATTCTAAAAGGTGAAGAAGGTAACCGTCATAATGCAAGGGTTTAAAGCATTATTATTTGGGAAAAGTTTATTACAAATAGATTTTAAAAAAATGTATATGTACCCAGAGATTGGGACAAAGCAGTTTGTCATAAATAAGGATAAACTATACTTTTTTTTGCAAATTTTTCCAAATGTTTGGTGATGCTTTTATAGTGAAAGGTTTCTGTCCCTGGCCACTAGTTTATATTGTTCAGTATAGGCAAACGAGCCAAGCTAAATAGTAATTTTAAAAGCTGTGAGTTAGGTATTGGTATTCTAAACAGAGATTTGGTGCTCTAAAATAGAGCTCTGCAGTAGTGTTTTCCTAAATGTCCAGCAGACTTTTTTCTATGCTATGCTAAACTTCACTGTGTCCTTTATTACCTCTTACAGCAGCTTTGTTTATAAAATGCACTCTTAGAGGTACCCAGCTGAAGAAAACTTTGTGCTAAGCATTCTCTTCTTACAATTTTTTAAAATATTAAAATAACTCATTAACCTCCACTTTATCTTTTCCACTATGGCCTTTCAAATACAGCCTGTGCTTGTCTAGATGCTTGGCTTATGTAATTTAACGTGTAGTTGCGTAAAGGCAATATATTCAGGAATAAATTCTTCCAGGGAGAGGCAAACCCTAAAGGTGTTCACATTTTGCCTGTGGGTTGTGGGATTTTTTTAAATGCTACTTTCTTGCCAGCACAAGAGTGTGCTTCTTGTCCTTGCTTTACTGGATGAACATCACTATAGTCATATATCTGAAAGTGGGCGCTGAGAAGCTGTCTTATGTCCTCTGCATTAAAACCGTATATAGCTCTGTGGGTTGGGTGTTGGAAGCATTGGAATTTTTTGGTGGTTTGTTGGCTTTTTTTTTGTTTACTGTGCACATCGCAGTGGCCTGAGCCAGTGATTTCTGGTGCTGGATGCAAGAGGGCTGGTGTAGGAGCGCTGTATTGCCGGGTGTCAGTTCTGTCTGTCATCGCGGAGCTGCCCTTCAGGTATGACATTGCCTGATCGGTGGAGGAGTGGAGGATCTCTCGCCACATGGACCTTGCCAGAGGATTCACAAAGTCTAAGTTACCCAGCTGCTAAGCCTATGGAAGCATTTTTAAGTATTTCCTGGACATGATATTTTAGTATTTAATATTTGCATTAGAGATTTCTAGATTAGTAATAATTGATATAAATTGTGGCACCAAAAATAATGTTTGTGTATAGCCACTTTTTAACCTTAAAAAAAAGGAATAAAGGGATGTTTGCTCAGGCATACTCCCATGAATTACAGAACCATGTAGAGAGTGTCTTGATTAGTTTACCAGAGTAGGGTCCTTAGAAGGCATCTCCTCAGCCTGCAGTCAAAATTACATATGAATATACCAATGGCGACTTGTTGCAGCTCTTACCCTGAGCCTGTGTGCAGCAGAACAGGATTTGTCTCACGGCTGAGCAGCCAAAGTAATTGGCAAAGTCTCGTCTACTGCTTCATCACAGTTTCTTAATTTTGAAGCAAGGTGTGTAATCCTGGTGAGAGCCAGACTGAGAAGCAGGCATTAAATGGGTCTTGTGGTACGAGCAGTGGTAGCCTTCCAGCACTTGCTGCAGGAAACCTTCATACGTTTCTCTTGTCACCGTTGCAGGAGCTCCTTCCCGTTTCCGTATACATGTGGTAAAGGCGGTTCGGAGTCATTATGTTCAGATTAGTGACTGTCTGCATAATTTGTGGTTCAGATAATTTCCCTCTGTCACCAATGCCACATTAGGAGAGTTGCTTCAGAGTAGCTGGATACCCAACAGCAGATTACGAGTGACAGTCCATTGCTGACTTTACTGGACCTTCTTTTTCTGCCTGCATTTTCTCAATTCCCTGCCTTATTTATAATGTGGAAACTAACTCCATGACTCTTCTTAATGTCATTGGTTAGCATTATTTTACAGGCAACACAACTGACACCAGAGGTTCGATTTTTGTCAAGAGCGTGCTGTGCGGTCAAGGTTTGGATTAGATGAGTAGATCTCTTGGGCTCAGTCTCGGGTTTTGCCAAAATTGACCTTTTTATTTTCCATGCCAGAAATAACTGCAGCTCTGAAACAGTGTTACAAGGTTGTAAAAGCTCAGGATTTGTATGCCAAAAATCAAAGCCAGTCCAAATGTCTTCAGAAGGAAAATGATCAAGTGTAGTGTTACCTCTGTAAGTCTCTTCTTAAATAACTTGTATCACAGAAGGTAACATTACAATATTGCTGTCATTTATCAGTTGGGTGATCTGTTAGTCAGAAGTTCAAAGAAAAAGAAAATTGCTGAAGACTTAAGCAGTTACTGTAATGCATGTAAGTGACCAGGCACTCCTAATGTGTTTTTGTATCTATGGCAGATGTAGCAGCTGCGCACTCTTAGAGCGCTCTGCTTTTATTTGAGTCAGTAACATCCAGAAGAGGACAGAATTTACAGGCTGCGTTGGGTATGCCTCTGCATTCCGTCTGTTATTTTACTGTTCGAGTGGTTTAGTTCTTGTGAGGGATACAGACTTTCAGATGCAGTAATTCTTGCATTTGTCGAAGATGACATTTGTTACAAGGATATTTTTGTAAGAAGTTTCTGCTGCAATTAGTTGAACTTGCTGTGCTGTATAGATCTTATGTGACTTCTGCTTCTTATTTTGGCTATGCTGCTGTTACATAACAGTGCCTTGGCATTTAATAAAGTTACATTTTAGCCTTATCCTTTGTAACTTGCTTACTTGTAGCTGCCTTAAAGCAGACTTTGTTTTTAAAATTGAAAAACTGCTTAAAAAAATTAACTTCTTGTAATTAAGGGGCAACCCCCCACACTTAAACCAGTTTGACTGCCAGTGAGTTAGACCTACCATTTAAAATGGGTTGTTCTGTTAGAGGATAAGCAATTTTTTTCTCTCAAAATGGGCAGAGAGAATCTACAGAAAACACCTCTTTTTCCCTCCTCCTGACACATCCTCTAATTTTTTTTTGTAATAAAAGCTTACTATCTTTTACTCCAAAGCCTTCAACTCTTGCTCTTTATCACTGTTTGCACACACAAAAGAAAAGTTTGCTAACCCCCGCTATCTTCCTTGTTTGCAGGTCTATAACCTAGAGGTCCTCAGACTCCCACTACTCTTGTGTATCTAGCTCATGCCCAAAGTTGTTTACCTTGACGCTAAAAAAAGGAGTGAATAAGCTTAATCTGTTGCATGGGGACTAACTTCCATCCAGATTTGGCTTTTGCACCTTAGATTTCCCTTCTGTGTTCTGTCTTGCTAAGACTTTTCTGTACTCTCGCTTCTCAAAGTATTCCACCTGGTGGCAAAATTAGGGAAATAGTTAATGGAAATGGTTTACACAGGCATAGATCAAGTAGTGTAAGAACCTGTAATACAAGTCATAATTTATTCCCGTGCCATATTTTACAGTAGAGAGAGAGAAATTAGAATCTATGTGTGCCTTAAGTTTCATGTTTCCGGTTTTTGCATTTAAAGGTCAAATCTACTTTGCTATAAGACTTTATATTCCTCTTCACTAAAGCTGAAAACAATGCGATGCCCTGGCAGTAGGAATGAAGGACCATTTTAATAGTGAGAAGACAGTACTGTGCATTTAGTACTTTGTTCTGTTTCATGAAAATTCTCACTTCTGTGTGTACCAGTTGAAGAGAAATTGTAACAGACTGTTGTACTTCCAAGTACGGTAGGCGTCCAGATATCTCCTGGAATATCTGACTGCTTCTTTTAGAACAAATAAAACCAGTGACTGTCAGGAGTCATCTGGAAAATCGCCCCCTGTTTCAGGAGAAATAAGTTGTTTGTTGAATAGTGGTGGGTTTTCAATCTTGTGTTAAGGAAATTGAATGCGATCAGTGTTAAAGGGAGCTAACTTCTGTAGTTCCTCCTTCCACTGATGCAAGATCTGCTATTAGTCTGTCCTGAGGTCTACAAGCTCTTGTCCTATATACTTTAAGACCGTTGAACCTCTTAATTTTAGAAATGGCAGGGCAGGAGGCTCCTTATATTTTTATATTGCCAAGTATAAGTACCTTAAAATGATAATGTTGTATGAATAGGAACTTTTTCTTTCACACACATTTGGGAGGTCCACTGAAAGATAGTGCCCAGTAGCTTAATGTCCCTGTGTTCTTTGAATGTTCAGTAGTCATGTCAACTGTCCCATTAAATTGATTTTGAACTTTGTTCCCTGGTTTGACCTTCAAACTTAGTGTTAAATGTTATCCTGAATATGCTTTTAAACTAAATAAAATATGAGATTTTTTTGCAGATTCAAATTTTCCATTTTTATATCTGCTGTGTTCTGTGTGTATATAAGACCTTTAAAATTGTTGAATTTACTAACCTTATATTGTTTCTTACAGGCTAATTGTAGTAGATAGAAGCATTACACTGTTCCAGTATGATTTAAATATTTCTTTATTTTATGTAGATCAATGTCAGAGTAACCACGATGGATGCAGAGTTGGAATTTGCCATCCAGCCCAATACAACAGGCAAGCAGCTCTTTGATCAGGTAACTTATATGTGTCTCTGTGTATGTATGCGTGCAAACACATAAAACCATTGTGGGCATTAAGGCATAGTTGGAGAAGGCAGAAGTGTTCTTGTGTATAGATTATGTTTTTCCTTTCATTATCTGAGCTATGCTCTGTTAGTTTGAACTTCCTCATTACTTCTTATGGAATGTATTAAATTCAAAGACAACTCTGTGTAAATAGGTTAACAGTGAGGCTTCTGCTGAATCATGCATATAGAACTGCTTTGAAATGAATGGTATTTTTCATGTCTAATCACATTATAGTTGCAACTGCAATGTAATTGTTAGAATTACATGTATAAGAAATTTCTATAGCCTTCATTATTTACTAATGAATGTAACAATAAAAGTTCATTAAGGAAAGCTAATATCTTTTGGGTTTTTTCCAAGAATGGAAGCTGTAGATAACTTTTTGCTTCCTGAGTATTAGAAAAGTAATGTTGTTCTATGATCCACTTTGAAATTTAAGTTCAAAAAAAAAAAAAAAAGACAAAGTGGAAAAGTGAAAATGGCGGCATTAATGTGCTCATGTATTGCAGACCCATCAGAACTACGCATTCTCACTTGATGGAGTGTCTGTTGTGCACCAGTCAAATGGGCTAAATGAATGATTTCTTGAAAGGGTTGTTCTCATATTCATTTCATGTGATGTTTAGCCATCAGAATCTTGAAACTTTTTTTATCTAGGTTGTGGAGTGTTCTAGAAAATGTCAAGAATAGAAGCTTGATCAATGTGTCATTTTGTTTTTCCTTGAGAAATCAATAAATACATTGTATTCTAGATCCAAGATGTATGCATTTAATTAAAAATGCAGAAATATTCAAAATTACTCTTCAAAAAGAGTTTAACTGTATCAACGATTATGTCTGGTAGAACTGTTGTTTCTGTCTGGTCCACTATAGATGCTTAAAGTATGTAATGATGGGTATTGAGAAAGTAACACATTGAAAGAGTTCTTTAAGAACTCTTAAACTTTTAATTGACCTTTAAGAGTTGATTAAATATCTTAGTATATAAGTTGAAAGGAGAATGTTTATTGTTTTGTAACACTGGGCTTTTTCTTTTAGCGGAAAGAAATTTCACTTGCAGTTTTTGTTTGAAATGACTGTCTGACTCTTAAAGCTTCTTCCCTTCACCCCTTTCTCTGACATGTGTAGCAGTATCTCTCCAGCCTCTCCATAGGAATAGGCTTTGTGACTCTTAGAAAGACTTCTTGGAGAAAGGGACTGTCCTGCTTTTTGTTTAACCAGTGCCACCATCATATAAAAAGTATGGTATTCTGTGGTATAGAAGCCTCAAGCTGTTCCTTGTCTCTTGCCAACCTTTGCTATCTTCTGCCATGCAGTACTGGGTGGGGTGACGTTCTGCTGTGTAACATTTTGTGCCCAGGTAATCGGGTTCATCCAAATTGGGCATTCACAAATGGGGAACAAAGATACGGCTCTGAATTCTTTTTCATGCTTTCTTCAACTTTGTTCCTCAGTTCACTGTGTGGCTTTTGACATCTCACCAGCTCTTACAATCAACTTCTGGAAGTTTAAATTGTGAAATTGTAAGGTCAAGCAAAATCAACCAGCGTATCTGTGTGTGAGGAGAGAAGCATTTTCAGCCTGATCTTAAATTACCATGTGAGTTCTACAGAGTAACATCAAGAGATGAACGGTATTGCAAAACCAGCATGAAATTTTCAGACAAAAGTTA